GCAAGGCCATACAGAAGGAAATAAGACGGAGCAAACACAAGAAAAACAAAAACAGCCTTCTAGTTCTACTGCCACTAATAATATCCACGGAGATAATCTCGATGCCTTACTCAACGGTGCAGCGAATAACAGTGGTATGGCACTAAATGACGGCAGCAGCAGCCCTGCGTTACTGCGTGTTCCACTCCTGCTGCTGCTGCTCTCTGTGCTGGGCTGCATGGCTGTGTGCTGAGCACTGTGCTGGGGTCCATCCAGAGAGTGTGGGTAATCACTTGTTTACTGTTAATAATGATAATATAATTGCTACTGTATTCAGTACACTGGGCACCGAGAAAATTAATTCCGATGACACCCACTGGGCTAGGGTACATCAATTTGTGTGGATATACCTAATCTCTTTTCTTTTTTATACTTGTAAGCAGAGCATTGCTGTGCTCCTTGTGCTGTGTTTCACTCTGCAATTGTGTGATTCTGGTAAATGATATCTCTTTTCTTTTTTGTTTGCTTTCACATTATTTGTGAATGGGGTAACATATAATTTGCTTGTTCCTCTGTGGACACTGCAAATTGTAATGGGGACAGGGAGAAACCAACACAGAGAGAGGTTTGTACATTGTCCGTTATTATTATTTTGTCTGTGGGGCTATCTCTGCGATGTTACCAAATAGTATTCAATTCGTTTATAATCTTTTTTTTTTCTTATGGGATTGGAGGTGATGTTTCTTTATTATGTTTGAATAATGGGTGTTTTTCCCTAATATATCTATTTTATTTACATTCTTGCTTGACTCGATATGCGTGTGTGTAGTAATAGCGGTGTACTGGTGTTTTGCTTTCTCTCTTTCTATCTCTCTTTACACACATACATACAGACACAGATTCCAGCGATCCTCAGTGATATTAATAGCAAGAATGTCCATGTTGCCGTGCCGTGTGTTGTGTCTGTTGGCCATTGTGCTCTGCTGTGTGGGTGTGACTCATGCTGCTCCATCAACACCATCAGGTATCTCAAGACTTATTGTGTAGGCACAAGAGAAGGCTAAGGAGGTTTTAAAGCAGAAGGCGGAGTGCGAGAAAGCCGCCAAGGCTGCTCTAAAGGCTGTGGATGAAGCTCAAGTATTTGCTGTTACCACTGAGAATGAAATTGAAACAATTGCTGCTGAC